GCGCAAAACCTGCCAACGCTATCTCCAGTATGGAGCTATCTTCACAATACATGGAGACACCAAGCAACAACTGCACACCAGAATGAGCACACACTGAAAATCTATCAAAGACAATAACAGAACACCACCTGTCCCCAATCTGTCAGGCTTGATCCTCAAAGGGAATTTACAAGCCACTTTTCAAAGATGAGCCTATGAACTTCATCAACCTCCTAGGTACAGAAACTCATGGACTCAATATAGACATTGGATTTATGACACACTACAACCTGCCGGACATCTGACTCCACAGGTACCTCTGCACTTTTACCTGCACTGCTACATCCCCCTCCCCCCCGGCCCCACCCCAGCCTGTCCCTCACCCCCTGATGCCTTCATTTTCACTGACTGGCTTTCTTGCCTGCATTGCCTCTGGCTTCTTTACTATTCCTCCCATCCAGGAACAGCGCACACACCAACTGCAGGTGCTTCCTCAGCCCAACAAAGGGTTTTTCAACCTGAAAGCTGGCATTCTAGGCAGCTAAGCTGAGCTCACCTGTAGTCTCACAACTCCACTGCAACTAGCAAGCCTCAGGCCTGTCAAAGACATAACGGGTCTGGGCTTTCCCCAGCCAGGACTGTGTGTGTGTGTGTGTGGGCGGTGGGGGGGGGGTGTTGGCTGGAGGTTACTGCACCTCCTACCCCCATTTCAACAGGGGGATGCTTGGTCCTGACATTTCCTGGGGCTGCCATGCTGCCAGCAGCCCCACCAGGCCTTCTGACCCTGGTAGAGTGCAGTTTTAGTGTTCAGGACCTGGGGCCTCCTCCTTCCCCATAGCCCTAGGCCATACCTCCAAGTTCATCCTGGCATGGGAACTCAGCAGGGACATGTTCTTCCCCTCCTGGCTGGAGATGCAGGGAGTGCTGCCTCCAGCTCTGAGAGCAGGGCACTAAATGGTTTTTAAAAAATGGAAAAAGGAAATAGGTGTGAATGGAGTGAGGAGGGTGACACTCACTCCATCTGCACCTGGAGCTTGGGGAACCCCAGCAGTGGGAGGTTCACCTTGAGGAACACCAGCTGCTCCACCAAACCAGGATCCAAGTAGGTGGGGGGGGGGGGTGTCACTATAGTCCCAGCAATGCTGAACACCCTCTTGGAACACTGGTTGGTGTACAGGAAAGGTGTTCCCAGGTAACTGTGGCCAGATCTGGCTGCAACTTGCCCAGTAGGCCAAGGGGCCCCACAGCAGCAGCTCCACGTCTTCAGCGAGATAGGCAGCCATCAAGGCCTCAGTACTACCTGCCTGATGGTGGGAACTAGTGCCTCTGAACCCCACCATGGAAGCCATGCCCTTGACCCACATTGGCAGTGCCTGTGGTGGAGGAGGAGACTGGCTGATGGATGGCGTGCTAGCATGGGACAGTGGATTCCCCTCTTCCACGTCCCCCTGCCTCCGCTGTTCTACCTCCCTGACTTTCTTCACCAGCACCTTTATCCACTCATCCAGGCTTTTTCTGCTGCATATACTACCCTTCACCTTCAGGTCACACACGGCAGCCAGCATGTGGACCATACTAGACCGCAAGGCCATTAAGACATTTTCTGATGCCCTCCTTCAGCCCCCTCACCAGTGCCTGCACATCTGGTGACAGTGGCTTGCCTCAGCCAGGAACATTGATCTCCTGAAAGCTCTGCATTTGACTCTGAATTCCCTCACAATAGGGATCACCTGGCTGAGGAGGGCATTGCCAGCGCTGAGGGTCTCAGTGGCCTTGAGGAAGGGATTGAGGATCACCAAGATCTGGGATATGGTATCCCACTCAGCATTGTTAAGGGGGCTACTGATCCTAATCTCCCTGAGCGAGGCCATCTCATGGATGACCTTCTGTTGTTCCACCAACCTCTCTAGCATCAGATATGTGGGGTTCCACTGAGTTTCCACATCCTGCATGATTTTGTGCTGTGGGATGTTCAGCTGTATTTGTTTGTCCTGCAGGATCTTCCACACACCCCCTCCCCCGCCCCACCTTGATGTTTTGGTGGAAATAGCCTGCCACCTTCATGCATTTTGAAATGAGCTTGCTGGTGGTGCTGGTGCCATCACTGGAAGCCCTGTCCCCCTCCAAGTCATCCCTGTCTATGAGGTGGAACTTGTGTGCCACACAGTGGAAGTCAACAAAGTTAGCATCACGGACTGCCTTGACCGTATTGGCCCCATTGTCAGTGACCATGAACCTATGGGTGATCTCGCCCTGCTCAATGAGCTACCCCTGAACCAAGCGGTTCATGGTCCCCATGATCTCTGTTGCTGTGTTGGACTCATCCATCACCTCAGCTTGAAGGAGAGCCCACTGATGACCTGACTAGTCTCACCCGTGCCCTGTGAGGGAGAGGTATGCATGATCTCCACCCCACCTGCTGCAGATGTCCAAGGTGAAGTGTGAAGCCACCTGCAGACCTGTCTTCTGCAGCTCCTCCCTCAAGTACTCCCTGGATGCCTCATACAGGGAGGGCACCACTGTCCTGCTCAGGGTGGTATGTGCAGGCACTTGGTATGATGGGGCCATGAGCCGCCTGAACCCTAGCCACAAAGGAAAAGGAATGGCCATCCACAGCAAGCATCTCCCCAATGCTCTGAATGATCTCGCTCACCCTTGCAATGTGCCCCCGCTTTCTGTCTGCCTTTCTCCCACTGTTTCAGGGTGGCCTACCTTTGTTTTGTGGGGACAGGGGCTTTGGAGCAAGAGGGGAACTTCCCTTTGGGCATGCTCCTGCTGGTGCCAGGCTGAGGAGGAGCAAGGGCAATGGAGGTAGTGCCTGAGGAGATGCATCAGCATCCCTGTGGTGCTCATGTGTTTGGTTCCCTTGCCTCAGCTGGTTTTGGCTTGGCAGTGCAGGCAGATAGCATATGTGGGATCATCTACCAGCTCAAAATGATCCCAGACTACGCTACCTGCTCGCTTCTGGGGTGCGGGTGCATGAGTGGATGCTGCAATTTCCCCCTCCTCATCAGGCAGAGGCACACCAACAGGAGGAATGGACTCAGCTGAACCACTTGCCTCTGCAATCTCTACCTCAGCCTCCCCTGAAGTGCCTTCTGGAGAAGGAGATCTGGCTCTAGGGGAAACTTGAGAGGTGTGGAACACAAACTCAGATGATTCTCCCTCCTTCCCCAGAGTTTCTCTTGCTAGGGCACTGAGATCCAGATCCAGCTCATCCTCTGGCATTAGAAGGCTCAGCATGGGAAGTGAAATGGGGGTGGAGGAGACTGTCATGCTGGTGCTGCGGCTTGTTGTCATGGGGGGGGGCTTATGGCTGGTGCAAGATACATTTATATATTTTTATACATTTATATATGTGCCTTCCTATATACATTCTATAGTATAATATCCAATATAATTATGAAATTGAAAAAAAATAATCAGTGAATATAAAAATAAAATAAAAGGGTCTAGAAAGAAAGCAAAAGGTATTGTGGAATCCCACTTGCTAGGTTAGCAAGTAGGAAACCAAATCAATGGTAGTAGTAGCCTTTGTTGTCTAATGTTCCTGAGCTTCTATAAGATAGCTCAGTAACTGACCCCTAGGCAGAAAGCAGACCAGTTCAAACAATGCTGCCTTTTATGCTGTTTTTCCGTCCCTTCCCCAGAGCACTGGGATTGGAAGGGACCCAAGGGAAGAATTATAGTCGCTGGCCAGCTACACAGTCAATGTCAGAGCAGTCCTTCTCCCTTCTTCCCCCCCTCCCCCCCTTACTTTCTATTTCCCTGCAGGCAAGCCCAACTTCAGTTTTGAAACTTGAAACATTTTGAAATTTTTTAAATGTTTTGACTGCCCTCATTTTGTTTCAAGGCTGTTTTGAAGCTCTTCATTTCATTTTGATTTAGCTGTTTTGAGCTCAAAATGAGTTGAAACAGCATTGAAATCAAATAGCTGGCGAAAAATTGCACACCCTACTGCACAGCATCAGCACTGAAAGCTCTCTGCTCTTCAGGGGCTCGGCATAAAAACATCTGTTTAGAAGGTCTCTGGGTAAGTTTTTTTTTTTCTACCAGGAAAACAAACCTGGGAGAATTTTCTCAGATCATTTGAACATGTGCATACTGTGTGAAGCAGACCCTATTCAATTTGGATTCAGATCCGGCATGAATCAGGGACAGTGATTTGATTAGTTGATTTGGATCACTGTCCCTGATTTGATTCGGCTGAATCTGAATCTGAAGATTCGATGCTGATTCAGAGAATCAGTGATTCAGACAGATATAGCTTTAAAAGTTTTTTCTACAAGGTTTTTTCTTGAGGTACCAGCGTGGCTTGTGAACGCTGCAATGCTGGAGCGCATGGAGCTTCCCACAGGAGTGTGGGGGGTCCTCCACATGCTTGGTAGTGAACCCAGAAGTGGACCCCCCTGCAACCCCACAGCTCAGCAATCAGTCACAGGGGGACCTTGGGTGCCCCCCCAGACCTAAGAGGCACCAGCCACCAAGCCATGCGGGAACGGGGGTCCCCCCAGGCGTGCTCCCTGGCAGACCCAGAAGTGGACTGGAAGTGCATCTGGTCCACTTCCGGGTCTGCTGCTGAGAGCACTGGGGACCCCCTGTGCTTCTGTGGGATGCTCCACGCACCCCAGCATCACAGCATTCACAAGCCGCATACTACCTAGAGGTATGTAGAAAAAAACATTTAAAGGTGTGTCATGTCCAAATTGCTGAACCTTTCTGAATCTCTCCGAATCAATTTGGAGGGTTCTGATTCGATTCAGAGAGATTAAAGGGTCCTCTGATTCAATTCAGATTCAGAGATTCAGCCACCAAATTGGGCCGAATCTCCGGTGAACTGAATGAGCGACCAAAGCTTCGCACAGCCCTAGCATGCAGCCACATACTGATAAGGTACTGGAGTGGGAGTGGAAAATTTGGATCTATTCATGGCTCTGACACTGACTTGCTGTGTGAACCTAGGCATGTCTCTTGTTCTTTGTGCCTTTATTTCAGCTCCCTCTTTTGTGTTTTCTGTTTAGATCCTGAACTCTTCAATGCAGACCCTGCCTCCCCACCCTCCACAATGTACAGTTCCTAGTCCAATGATCCCTGGTTTCTCTTTGAACCCTTGTGCGTTATAATACATATGCCAATAGCAGGTGAGCTGTGAGGGGTTTATTATTATGATTATGATTATTTTATGTGGGTTTTTTTCTGCTAAAACAAACGAAAACCTCCAATTTATCAGGTCTGTTTCTTGTGTACTGTGCACTAACTGTCCCCCCCTTTCCCTGTCCTCCCCCCCCATGTCACTGTTGATGATTAATAGCTCCATGAAATTAAAATGGAAAGCACAATATTAAAAAAAAAATCCTCATTCTGGGGAGGTTATTTTAATAGAAACAAGGTTTGGAAAAGAACAGAAAGGGAAAGACAAAGCAGCATGATTCTGTGTGTTTTGAAGCAGCTGTTCTGTCACATGAGCCAAAAGCAGCCAAGGCTAGTTGACTCAGAGGAATACTGTCATAATTATCCTGACTAATTATGAACCTCACCTGGTTTTAATTTAATAATATGAATTACTGGATATTTTTTCCATTATGATGTATATGCGGTAGGCACAGTGGGGATTCATCTTGGTACATCTTACTCTTTCGTCCACATTCCTCTGACCTCAGCTTTTTCCTCTTCTATCGTATTATGTTAAATTGCACTGCAATTCATGCAGACATACCTATCACAGCTTTATGAACACCAAAATAATTTAGCATGATGTTTTTAAAACAAATTATGAGAGAAGTAATAATGACTTGCTGCTCATTGTAAAGTGTTGCCAATTGAATTATTTGTCTTGCTCAGAAGGTTTACATGGGATTCTTACCAAGACCTTAAACAGCATAGCTAGCATGTACAACATAGTTCATATACTCACCCATTTTTTCTGCCCATTTCTGGGAACCTTGACTCTTTACTATTCAAGGTTTCCATACACAATGTTCCAAAGCACATGATTTACTAAAATGCTGTTTGATCTAAATAACAATAGTTGCAATATACAATGAACTTGTCTGGGGTATAACCTAAATCATTAATCTGTGCTTTCTTCTTGCAAGATCAATTATGGCATGATGTGTTTAAAGTCATATACTGGCTGCCTCTTTAGCAAACATTACTATTTTACCCAAACGAAAAACCTCTACACTTTCACAGCAATACTTGGCCAACAAATTATTTTCATAGTACTCCTATCCAAAGAAAAAAAATACATTTTAGAGGTGTGACATTGGGCAGACTTCATTCTCTATACAAGATACCCTAACCCAAATAATGACATTTATCATTATCAAACAAATTTGCAGAAGCAAAATTTTATTTCTAGCTAAAGGGGACATCCAAGTCTTGCTTTAACACAAAGGTATCAAACTCTATTGGCTCCCTAGGTTGGATCAGGACTATGGCACTCCTCAGGACATATCTAGATCCAGCAGCAGTGGCAGGACAAGCAGTTATAGTGGTGGCATGGGAGCTAATACAGTCCAGAGCTGTGTACCCTTGATACTCCTGTTGAGTTGTGGGTTTAGTTCACCGAGGCAGAAGCCACTTCTACAATAAGGTTTCTTTATAGATGCCAACAGCATTAAGCTAGCCATGACGCGCTCTCAGTTCTGTCTCTAACTCCACCTATCTCCAACTATATGATATCCAGAGGGGGAGTTGAGTGATAGCCTAACTCTTAGAGACATATAGTCCTCACATGTCTCCATTTCAAGTAAAAGCACAACCCATTTTAACCAGTAGTGACATATATGCAAGAATTCAAATTTTGAATAAGCTAACAACTGTCAGTCAGTCTTTGCAATACTCTTTGCAGTCTTGCAGGTCCACAAGGCATCATATTAGTCTCTGCATAGTTTTGCTCAGTCTGTGCTTTATTTTCCTCCATGTCCTTCTCCAGTTTGGACACTGTTTGTTCTCTCTCCTGTCCTTTCTGGATGTGCTGCAAGTGTTTCTTATTCCTTCTGTAGGCGGTTCCTTCGCTGTCTCCCCTTCATAAGATCTAGGAGCTACCTCATGAGTGACAACTATCTCCTCCATGTTTTACAATCATGTATGCATGCCCTGTTGCAGGGTAGCAGAGGTTCTAGTTCTCGTGATCTCTTGCCATAATAAAACTTATGTTTATATTTATTCTAAGCATTTATGACAATTTGTTGTTTCTTATCAGTGTTTACCAGATTAAGCAGTCTCCTTCTAAGTTTCCTGTTTAAATATTTGGTCAAATGGCAAAAGGGGTTGTTTCAAAAGACATGCTCTAAAATTTATTAATGCCAGAGAAGGATCTGTGTGAGACTCTTGTGCTTTGTTTAGCAGCCTTTTTTCTTGTTTTGACACCATTTTCTACAAGTCCATTAGACTGTGGTAATCTTGGGCTAGAAGTAATGTGTATAAACCCTTATTCCTTTGTAAAGAACCTGACACTGGTGCTGTGTGGGAGCAAGGAGGGCAGACTGGAGCAGGCACCACCCCATCTGCACATGCCTGACCCAGGTCCTCCTGAGCAGCGACTGGAAGTGTGTGTGTGTGTGTGTGTGTGTGGCGGAGGGTGGGGGAGTAGGTTGGGCTGGGCTAGGCACTGTCTGGGGCAGGGTGGGGTGGGGAGATAAGCAGCCCATGCTCACAGCACTGCTGTGTGTATGTATATGTTCGGTACCTCCCTGACCACAGGCCCCTGGAAAGTCGCATACATCGCGCACCCCTAAGACTGGCTCTGCTTTTGCCTTGTTTTGGCAGCAGCCTGATGTCTCTTAACAGATTGGCTACTGAACTTGGGTGTTCTGCCATGTTTATAACATTCAGACTGATTGTTAAATTCTTCTGATATATTTACTCTAGGGAGCATAAACAGGTAGGCAAATCTCCTGTCCAAACAACACCATATATGGTGTTTATCCCATAGATGATTGCACACTGCACTGGTAGGCCATCATGGCATAAGAGAGTATCTCATCCCACTCCATCTGACTGTCTCTGAGCAGGGAGGACAGCATGTCAACTAGAGTACGGTTGAAATTTTCCACTAATCCATCAGACCAGGGGTGATATAGTGTGGTGCAGGCTTTGTTGAATTTCAAAAGGTTACGCGCATGATGGAATAGTTGAAATTCAAAATGTCTCCCCTGGTCAATGTGTAGGAATTGAAGTACACCATAGCAGCATACCTATCTCTCAATATATGCTTTTGCCATAGTCTGAGCCTCCTTATCAGGAAGAGGGTATGCATCTTCCCAGTTGGAAAAATAGTCAGGCAGTACTAGAACATATTTGTTTCTTTGTGAATATCTATTGTTATCTTCCCAGGGGTTGTCCAACCTGCATGGAAACTATGGGAGCCCTGGGATTACTCTTTATTCCTTTTTGGGCATTACACATGACCTACACCACTCCTTAACAGATTTTTTCTAGCCTAACTAGACATACTGAGACTAAACCTTATGAGAGACTTCTCAATGCCCAAATGTCCCCTGGCATTGGAATCATTCAGAGCTTGGAGAATTTTTGGTATTTCCTTCTCTGGTTCCACTATGTGAATAAACTCAGGTCTCTCGGCAGATTCTGGAAGTTTTTGTACCAGTACTACTTGCCTAATGCTTAGTTCAGGCCACGCTATCTGGTACCTCTTCAGGCATGGATGGCATTGCTCTTCAGGGAACTTCTTACTGTTGATTTCCTTCCACCTTATTAGTTTTTCAATGTCAGCATCTTCCTGTTATGTTGTACACCAATCTGCCAACCTTCTGGCTTTTTCTGTATTTGGGGCTGGTTTACCCCGGCTGCCTCCATTTCTGATGGTGGTTGTATCCCCACTCCTTCAGCTTCAGGTTCCATTTTCATTGTGACGCCTATGGGAAAAGGCATCAGCATTCTGGTGCTGTCTCCAAGGATGATGCACTATTTGGTAGTCAAATTCAGTGAGCTGTTCTAACAGTCCACCCAGTTGACCTTTGGGTTGTTGGAAATTGTGTAGCCACTGTAGAACAGTGGTCTATTTTTAACGTGAAGCATCTTCCCAGGAGAAAGAGTAAAAATGTTTGGTAAAGGTCACCACAGCAAACAATTCCTTTCTTGTAGTTGTGTATGGACACTCAGCTTTGTTTAAGGCTTGGCTTGCATGAGCTAGTACCTTTTCCTGGCATCCTTCAACTTGTGAGCTGAGGGCTGGGTTATACTAAGATAGGAGATAACATCAGCCATCGCTTTAGCTCTATAAAGGAATCGTGACATTCTTCAGTCCAGGTGAACTTTGCCTTATCGGAGAGCTTATGTAAGGGACTTACAATGGTAGCAAAATCTGCCACACATATTCTGTAATAGGAGGTTAAACCAAAGAAGCTGGACAGTTCTGTTACATTTTGAGGTACTGGCTAGGCCTTAATAGCCTCCACCTTCTCTGGATCTGGGCCTACCTGCTCTGTAGAGATCATTTCCCAAAAATTTCGTCCTGTTGAAGGTTGTTTCCTGGCTCTCTAAGGTTTTGGTTTTTATATGAGCTCAATACTCTCACAGCAAGCAACTTCACTGATCCAGGGTCCTCTTGCAGGACAGCCACACCTGTCTCAAATGTCCCAATTATAGTGCCCTAGTATGCAACCCATGGTTCTGTTCATGTGTTAGCAACACACACTGGAATTTCACCCCTGTGGCTCTAACCCATTGCAGTTCCCACTAGGAATCCCTCATTCATTGATGATCTTAAGTTTCAATAAGCCCTCCCTTTCTTCATGGTTTCATCTCTACAATTTGCTAGTGATCATCTCACTTCTAGATGTTAGATTCTTTTCACTACCACTTCACATGCCCTCAATTGGCCATCTCCCCTTGCATGTCTGTTCTGGGACTAGGTTTCCATTCTCTTTGTGAGCTGGTCCAGTTTGTCTCAGATCTCTCTCGATGTCTCCATCACCATTTGCTAGGCTGATGACTACAGGGCTGGACTATGTGCTTCTGGCATGCATGTGCACCCTTGCCTCCATGCCTTGGATATTTAGGGCCTCCAGTTTTTTCACCACTTTCATATCAGCTTTATGGCACCATTCAAGGCTATGGGGCCTCCTCAACCATTGGCGACGTGTAGGGGGTGCACGCGGGTGCACATACACCC